GGTCTCATAGAGTCAGATTTGTTTTCCTTATCATCAGGTGTTTCTGCAGCGGGAATTAAAATAAGAGTCAAGAAATCAAAGTACTGTAATAGAAATGTAGGTTTGGAAGGATGTATATTCAGTCAGTACCTGGTTTCCAGCAAAGGAAGGAACCAAGAAGTGATGAAAGAAAAGTAGAAAGAAAACAAACAGCAGGACAGACAGAGAACAGCAGCTTCCAGCACAAACCGCACTCCTCCACTGGCCTGGAAATGTTCTGATGCAGGAAACCAGACCCTGCATCTAAAACGAGACACATAAAAAAACTCACTCAGTGGGTCTGCATTTGTCACATTTAATGAAAAGGGTTGGGATTATAAAAAAAATGTATTTGTTGTTTTTGGTTTTTTTAATGAGCCCCAAATAAAAGCATCTAAACAGATTGTTCTAGTCTGTAGTTTTAACACAGAGATAATTCTTTCTCAATCACCTCCTGATTCTGTGGATGTCATTAGCTGATCTCTACCAGTAAATACTGACAATTTACATCATTTATTAATCATAATATCAACAGGAATGATTATTGATCAACCAAAGAAATGTAAGATTATTTTCTCACAAATGCATTCAGTACATTTGGAAACATTTTTATTTATTCATTGTAACTGTTTCAAAGGAGATTTAATTTTCTATTTTATGTTTTATTTTATTTTTTTGTCAGATTTCTACGGAAAAAGAGATTGTTAATCTTAATAGCTATTATCTGGGGTCAATAAAGGTCAAATGATAAAGTAATTAAAAGTACATTCGTCTGTTTGACCAAAGCTTGAGAAGTTTCCTATAGTGTTTTTATTTTAAATATTCCAAATAAATCATTAGATGAATCCACTGATTTACATCTTGATGTTTCATCTTTCTCTGATTCAGCTCCACATTAATGTTCAAACACTTTGGTCCAACTTTTGTAAAATAATTATTCTTCTAGAAGCTCTGTGATCAAATGAGAAAGGAGAACTTACAGAGTGTGATCCTTGTGCTGATGTTTCCATAGACGTAGACGTCTTTAAGGACAATATTTCCATTTTTTTCTTTCTCCACCTTATTTTCAAATGTTCCACAGTAATAAAGTCCTTCATCAGAATCAGTGACGTTTATGATCAGCAGGTCATACGAATCGGACGACTGATTCCTTAAAAATTTAAAACGAGGATAGAGGCTTTCAAAATTTTCTATGTACGTCGCATGTCCAATTGTCTTCACCTCAAGAGTGGGTTGGTGTTGATGGGAGCAGTTTCTAAACCAGACTATATATACTCCAGTGGACGACCTGCAGTCACAATAGAGGGTGATGTTGTCTCCAGGTCGAACAATCGTCTCCAGCATTGAAGCAGAAATGGAGCAGAGATTCCAGGAAAAAAGTCCTGAAACAGAAAGACGTTNTGTCAAATTGAAATATAGTAACAACAGATGGGTAACTACAAATTAGAGCATAATTCTCCTTTATTTAAAAAAAACTAACACTGTTTATTTAAAAGATTGGATGCAAACTATTGGTTCTTTAACAGACCAGGAAGCAGATTTCTCATCTGTATCAGAAACCGCACATCTGCTGGATGCTGAGGATTTTTTAAATATATCATGAAATTAAGCTAATTCCTGCATGTTTAATCACCCATGCTTTCCTCGTGCTCCGAGGATAAGTCGGAGAGCAGCAATACGGGAGGAACAGCGGAGGCTGTAGGCTTTGCTTTGTGCAGGAGGTCTGGAGCGCTGCGGGGCGGAGCATGTGGATTTCAGGGTAACAGGAGAAGCAGCGCAAGTGACGTTTAGACACTGTTGTCAGACAAAATGTGGTAATTTATAAATGTTTTAAATCAGGTTGGGGCGGGATTAGCAAGCAGGTGGGTCCGGATCCGGACCGCGGTCCGCTAATCCGTGACCTCAGAATTAAACCAAAGCCGAGAGTAACGAGTACATAAGAGCAATCTGCCTCTATGGATCATCACAACCTTACAGCAGATTATAATCCTCAACCATCTGGGCGTAGATGACAGCAGTAAACAGGCTTCGGTCTGAGCTGTGGACTGTTTTCTTCTTCTTTGGTTTCTCAAATGTTGGATGGTCTCCCAGGGCAGCAAAACACACATTTCTCCCCTAAAATGAAACATTTGATGTAGAATGAATTTCAATAGAATTTCAATTCATCCACTTCCTCCCCTGAGCCAGGAGGAGCGAGTGCTTCAAGAACTGGAGGCAGTAGTAGCAGCTCAACAACAACTGCTGCTTACCTTAACGTCATACACACTCCGCTTTGTTTGAAACATATATAAATATAAAATGTATAACGGCAGATGTCTGGGGGACAGTGATTCACCTACATGTTATGAATGCTGGCGTACCATAAAGAATAAATGATGAACAGTTTACTTTATGCCTTCCAAGTCGTTGCCCATAGGAATATCTTCAGAACGGCTCCAAATGACACTAAACTCATATGGGTGAGTAGAACATGATGGAATAACGGAAAATCAGGGACCCAATGTAAAAAAAAAAAGGTGTTCCCCTTTAAATTGTCTAGACAGCTGTTCTAAACAAAATTTGTTTTTATTTACACTTGTGTATACAAAATGACAAAATAAATCCATTGAAGTCTAAGAATGATGGCAGTTCTGCTAAGGAATGCAATGTGTGTAAAAAACCTGCAATTGATCATTTCTGATCATATAACTATACTTCAAAGGTTGCATGAAGCGAATTTATTGTTTGTCTAAAAATCTGTTCATAAAAACTGATAAATGAGTTTCAGTTGGTTACCTCTGATTTTCCTGCAGGTCTCATAGAGTCAGATTTGTTTTCCTTATCATCAGGTGTTTCTGCAGCGGGAATTAAAATAAGAGTCAAGGAATTAAAGTACTGTAATAGAAATGTAGGTTTGGAAGGATGTATATTCAGTCAGTACCTGGTTTCCAGCAAAGGAAGGAA